TAACACAGTTTGAGCACCTGTGGACACTAGATGGCGCAGTTTCATATGCAATATGCAGGAGGGAGGACTACTTTACATTGACTTGTATTCATTTTCTGGAGCCTTACTGTTTCCTTCCCTTAACCATAACCTTATCTCTTAGCCTAACCTCCAACCAAGACATGACATGACTACATGGTGGGGGCCATCATCTGGTCCCCATAAGGATAGCAAGTCCCACAGTGTAAGTAATATCAGCAGCCCACACACACAAAATATCTTCACACTCCTGGACCTCACACCTACTGTATGTAAATGAAAAAGCTGAGCTATTTTGTAGATGATACGCTGATAGAGTAGTAAACTCAGAGGTTGCCTAACTGCTACTAAATAGGCTATTAATAAATATTTACTCTAGGCATGTATTTGTGTGTGAACATTGTATGTTTAGGTTAGGCTACATTATTTTGAAGAGCCTCTTAAAGTGTTGTGATCCCCCCAAAAAAGGGCTACGGTCTTAGGGCCAAAAAGAGATCTTAAAAAGCTTTCAGATGGTTTCCAGACATTTTAATAACATTATTTGTGTTATATCATTTGTCCATTTGTTGAAGAATAAAAACACATAAGACTGAGTTTTTTGATCTGAGGTTTATGACCCATAAAACTATGAAACTAACTTTTTGGGGCCACAAACTTTTTTTTTCTTCTAAGACATGATTAATACCTTATGTTGTACTTACTTGCACTCCCGGTCCTCCAAATCAAAATGTGGATTGAAGTTGATGAGAATCCGTTGGTGAGGACCAGGTGCCGATATCACCCAAATGCATCTCTGAGAAGGGGGATAAGAAACGGGGTATCCAGGCGAGGTGAGGTAGTTGGCAGCTGAGATTCTGATGTTGCCTCCACATTTATCTGCAGAGAGGAGTGCAGAGTTCTTTTGAGATAACCTTAAAAAAATATATTTCACATTTGGGATTTTGGCTGAGCCGTGGCAGCTCAGAGCTAAATCAGCTGGACTAAACCAGTTACTCTGTCCCTTAAGAAAGGCTGTCAGACTTAAAAGACAGTCTCTCAAACTACTATAATACAAAGCCCAGTGGAACTGGACAAAATTGATGGAGGCTCCAAAACAGGCATCTATCTATCAATCTTACAAAGTTAAAAGATCTGTGTACAGAGTGTAACTGGAAGTGCATGGAACAAAGTATCCTACTGTTACTGAATTATTTTGTTATTCTGTATCATTAGTAATGATACTAAACATTGGTCTAATGTAATGAATATAAGCGTTTATTAAGCTGACATTTTCTCAGAACTTATAGTTCTTTACATTTAAATGAGATAAGGAGCTTTTCAGTCCAGTTCGGGTAGATGTACAGGATAAGTGATCCAAAGAAGTCCGAACTGGGGGGTGGGGGCGGCTTCAAGAAAAGCTTTGTTTTGCTTAAGACAAAAGTCACAGGATCCTGCGGTATTTTCCCTTAACCCCACCACAAAATAGTCACGTTTCACCGTCTAAACGAATAACCCCATGTTTTTCAAAGGCCCGCTGCTGCTACTCTTCATTTGCGCTTACATTCACTCTTCTTATTATGAAAGCCTCGACCATCTGCTGCTCTAATGCAAAAGCACACCTATCGAAAATTTATTAAACGCTAATAAACGCTTAAACAAAACAAACAAACAAATAAATAAGTAAATAAATAAATGACTGCACAAGGCTGAAACGAAAGTGATGCTGTAGGAACAGAAGACGGGGAAGTTGTCTAGGTCGAGCAATAGGGCTGACTTTTTGCACTCATATCTCAGAGATAAAGCTCGGCTTGGTCACTACTGGCTGACCACATACACAAAACGAAAACCCATTTAATCATTTAGTAAGAAAAAATGTAAATAACATAATGGTTGCCAAGAGTCTCACGAGAAACTGTAATACGTATTGATAAATAAAAATAAAGAGGCGTTTAAAAATAGGTCTGTTTAAATTGTGCCACGGGAGAAGAGCAATGTCTTAACAACAAGCAAGAATGTTAAATAAGATCATAGAAAATAAGATAAACGATAAAATGAGATTACAAAATAAAAGAGGGTCAATAAAACCACAACTGGGAAATACTGAGTCTTGGAAATAATATAGGAAGGATTTTCATTAAGTGTTGACAGAAGGGACAGGTGAGCTACTTGCAAATTTGCCAAAAGATCAGCGGAGATCAGCGGGCCAATCTTTCAGAAAGGGATTAGTAGCATCGCAGAGTGCATGTAAACTTCATTCATATATATCAGATGTCAAACTTACCGTTTTTGAAAGCCTTGACCACCAAGAGGATTCCACTGAACAGGATAAAGACTAATCCACAATGCATCCTTGTTTTATCACAAAAAAAATAAAAATAAAATTACAAGTTACAAAAACCTCAAAATTAAACTCCTCCAAAGACTTTTTGGTAAGTATTCTTCTTTCCTCCTCTTAAATCGACAAATAAAGCAGAAGCGTTTCTTTTAACGAAGTTGGCACTGGTCGGAGAGCGGGCTCAGGTCGCTGGCATCCTGTCCTTCAGCTCCTGTTTCGTCTCGCCTGTGCCGCTTGTGCTCCTCTCTCCAGCACTGACCGTGCCATATTCTTTCCACAGAAGAGAAAGCGCAAGGTATATGATGAAACGACCCACTCCCTTTGCGTCCTTACTCCAAAAGTTCCCCGTGCAGGAGGTAATCCCTGGCTGTGGAGTGGAAAGAGACGGAGATGTGAGCAGCCTAGGAATGCTTGCCACGGCCGTGCGCTCTGGGTTTTTCCCAGTCTGACTAAACTCCTGATCTAAACAAGACTGCGAAGGCACTGATACACCCCCTCCCCAAATTGTGACCACTTCACTTCTATTGGCTCAGAATGTGGACTCGGAGACGGTGATGATTGGCTTGATTACAAATCAATGTAGTAAAAGCTCCGCGCTTTTATATGTAAGATGAGCTGCGCCCTGAGTCACAAAGCGTCAGCAGTCGGGTTAAGTGACTTGACTCTCTCTCTCTCTTCCTCATTTTCTCTTCTCTCTCACAAGGGAGCTAGACATTAACACAACACAACTCCCTTCAGGAATATTTAAATATATTGTGTGAGATATTGCTATATACAAAATGGGCCATGTAGTGAAAAAAACCGCATCCATAAAACTGAAATTAAGAATTAACACTTTCAGTCTGGAAAAAGACTTTTGGGATCGGGTGGGGGGTGATTTCCTTAGGATCTCCATGCATCAACAGAAGTTCCCTTTTTGTTTCCCCTTGTGTGTCATCTGCCTCTCACAAGAGTCATTCTCCAGCCAGAATACAATCACATCAGCTCGGATCCTAAATAAGAAAAAAGTGTTTTGTTTTGTATTGCTTTTTTTCTCTTTGTCGGTATCTTTTACGGACCAGTAACTACCAAGATGCACTGACTGATAAACCCTGCCCCACGGCAGTGACACTGTTGAACTAGCACTCTGAAATTTAGGGGAAATCAATTAAAGCGTAAATTATAGTAGCCTCGAGACATTTACTCAGAGCTGTCCTTACTGGGTCACACTGCACATAAAGGAACGAAGCCGGCTTGTTTTCAACAACCTCAATCAGCACATACAGTCCTATACTACAAACTCATGGGTAACCACAATGAATGGGAGGACAATGAACACCGAATTTTAATATGCATGTTGTAATTTGTATAATTTAAAATAAGAAGTTAAGTTCTGCAATACAATAATCAGCCAAAGTGAAATGTAATATATGGTATCAGAGAAATAATAAAAAAAGATTAAGTCTGTAAAATAGATTCTATCCGCAGTGCAGTATGTAACGCAGCGATATTTCTTTCAACCATATCCACAAGTCAAATAAAAACAGCTGCACTAACCTATGTCTTGGCACCCAGCCCTCCCCTCCCCACGTCCAACATGCGTGATCCGAAAGGATTTCTCCGATTCTGTTAAAATGTCACTAAATGTTGTTCAGATCCCAACTAAATCAAGTTAAGTAAACCAGCCCCCTACACCCACTACCTCCACCCAAACTGCTTTCTTTAAAGCCGGTAAATAACAACGGTGTAGCTCAACCCGGTCCTGGGTCCCCACTGCGCAAAGACGCACAGCTAATGCCTGGAAACTCACTCTCTTCTCCGCGTACAGCGTAGTCTGCTCCCCGCGGATGTCTCCGGCTCTCCTTGTTTCGCTTTCTCCCATTCAGTGCTGTCACAAGTGCAATCCAGACAGTATGAGGTAAAACAGACAGACACAAAATGTCAAATGGATGTAACGAATAATGTATATAAAAAGAAAAAAAAAATCCTAATAGCTCTAACATAAGTTTTTCCCCGTCTCTCTGTGCGCTACAGCTCTCTTCTACTTCACTGAGGGTTTGAGTCCCTGCCACTCACACACGCCCCTTTACGAGGGATGAGCGTGATTGTTTGCGTGCGTTGTGTGTGCTGCTGTGTGGAAGACAGTCTCTGCACAGGAGATGCAAATTTAACCCAGGTGTCTCTCTGTCACCCTGTAGTGGACGCACGGTCACATTAGACCCAATATGCGATAACCCGAAGGCGTATCTGAGCTAGCAGGCCATAGTAAGTGAGATTCATTATTTCCACAGAAATGCTTTTATAGCCTTATTTGCTATATTAAAATATATTAACTATGTTACAGTAAGCATGCAAGTAAATCTGTAATTTCATTGTATTGTGGGATTTTTAAGAAATATCATAGGAGATAAATAATCTAATGGGCCAATTACACAGCAATACCACAATAATACTATAGAGCTACTAAATGGGCTTATACACTGTTTTCTGGGAGCCTACAGGGGCCCAAGGCAGCCTACTCACTGAACACACTATGTTGTTTAGTTGGTCTCTGTTGTTGAATGAGCACCAGATGTGACAGGAAGGAAGTCTGCAATCATTTCTTGGTGCAGGATCTCCCAGAGTTTTAATCAGGAATACAGACCTTTCTGTGACAACACATATTCAAAGAAATGCTATGATAGAAGCCTGTTAGACACAGTTTGCTTGTATTACCGGCAGAGAGAATGAAATGTCTATTCAAAACATCCATATACCACTGTCACTGTGCCACTTTCCAGTATGGGGAACTGAAACAGGATCAAGCTCCTCAGTGCTACTTTGCTAGCAACTGTCACTGGGTGTTAAGGGTCAAGCCTTGCACACATGTTGCTTGACGTCTCTGTGGTTTTATCTCAGTTGATGGCAATAACTGGATGCTTCCAGCTGCAGGTCTGTGAGTAGGTGGCTTCTGCCATGTAGGGGGCATCAGAGAGAGCTGCCCATTGTCCCCCAGGCTCACCTGGATTTGAGATACCACAGCTGGGTTTGCATACAAGTGCACTGACTAAAGGTATTGTGCAGACATAATTACAATATTCAGTATACAGTTTGTTTAGGTGAGACTCCCCATCCATCAGCTTTAACATTGTTCTTTTATTCTTCTTTGTAGTTTAATAATAATTCTGTATTGCCTATCATCTCCCTGTTCTAATACCTAAATCACTGTGTTGCTTTATGAGGAATGCAAACAGCACTTTTTCAGTTCAGGAGGCTAACACAGTCTAGTGAAAGGTTTATTGACATAATAGAGCAAGATAAGTTTATAACCCTGTACATTATTATTTTGATTCCTAAAGAGAGAGAGATAGAGGATCGAGGGGTTTTATTTCCATCCCGGCCCTTCTCTGTCTCGCTGATAACACAAATGTTCAATTGGTATCAGCCATCTCTGTGAAAGGAATTGTGTTCCTTTCTCTGCAGTAATTGTTATTACAGCTCTGATGAATAATTAGCTCTGGTACAAAAGCAGATATTTTATTGCACTCTGTGAGCACTGGGATTTAGCCTTCTGTTAGCCTGACCTTTATTCACCAAAGAGAGACTTCTGTCTGAGAAATCTCTTTGGAGTTATCTGTCAAGACAGCAACACAATTTAACACTGTTTTTTAGAAGTTAACAAATTGAAAAAAAAAAACCCAGAATAAATGGTGTTTCCATAATGAGCATGAAAGCACAGGGAAAGGTTAGCCGAGTGAGTCAAATCTCTACTCAGAAGAACGCCTATGGGAGACTGTGAAACATGATCACAAGATACATACAACACTCTCCACCACCAACATTAAAACACAAAATGAAGAAACTAAATGTTGTCCATCCCTCCAGCACAGTTCACAAGACTTGTAGAATCGGTGCCAAGGGCCACTGAAGCTGTTGTACATGCTCTTGGATGATTAACACTTTACAGCCCTATCACTAGACAAAACAGGTGGCTAATTGATATTACAGAGGTTTTCTAAGATATTAGACATCAGCACGATGAACACAGAGACTTATCCACTCACTAGTTTGCCTTCATAGCCTCATTATGCCCTTGCAAACTTGTGCACTTGGAAACTATTCTAACTAATGCAGCCACGATCACTAGGTAGAGGAGGTAAGTGCACTGAATCAACTTGGAAGCCCTGGTGGTGACACTGGGGTCGTGTGATCGTGGGGTAGTTCATTTATAGCCTAACAGTAGCTTTGTACTTCTGCTACTTTTGGGTTACTTCAAAATTCATAAACATGGTGTTCATCTATGAATACTATCTCACTGAACAAAGTGTGTAAGTGTCATAAACTGCTCTTTGTCAGAGAGCATATTTTCTGCAATAATGCAAAAAGCCTATGGCAAAAAAACCCAATGGCTTTTTGTTGAGGGGACCAGAGTGATGCTAACATCTGGGATGGCCTGCAAAAAAACAAGTCATCCCTACGGCACTCTATTAGGGAGTGCTGTCAAATCCCCATACACTGATGATTCTTTTCATCTAGTGGCAGTATTTTTTAAATGGGTGCTTTCTACAATATATGCACATGAGAGCTACAGTAAGATTCAGGTCAGGGACAGATTGTCTGACAAAAATGCAAATGTTAAGTGAAGGTCAAAGACACTGAGGCAAACTCTAGTCTCCTGCATGAAAGTGTTAAGTGCCCATCAGAACAGAAACATATATACATAATTCCTGGCCTGTCACATAGGACACCTTATATTGGTTTTGTCACCCACTTGTATCTAGAAACTACCTTATGTCTTGAGGAGACTCAACAGGGTATTGTGAATATTTTATTGTTTTCACTACAAATTTTTGATCTTCTAGTGTGTTCTATGATGTCATCTTTCAGCAAGATTTAACTTGATATTTTGGCATCCTCCATGGGGTGTTTTCAGATCTGCACTGTTTAGTTCAGTTGAAGTGGATACTGCTTTTTCACCCCATGGTGCGGTTTGGGCAGATGTTAATACATCATAGTCAATATAGACCAAAACGACAGCCCTATTAAGGATGTGGTTCCGGCCCAGGCACAAATAAATTCTGAGGTTAAAATAACTCCCTCATCCATGCTTTGTGGTGTGAATGAGTAAAATTAGCAGGTACTCAACAAATAGTGGAAGAATAAAATCAGGGTTTGACCTAGACAAGAAACTTTAGGTAGATAGGATGTTCTTCAGGACGTTCTTCCTGCGTTTACTTTCTCACTATTGCCACACACATTTAAACAGTGATCGTAAGTGAACATTCTCACATTTTTGTTGATGCATCTTGATTTGCATGACTTGTGTTCTGTTTAAAAAGAAACTGAAATAGAGATAAGATTAAGCATGATTACCAACACAACCATTGATTCACATCACAGCAAACAAAACACTCTACCACTATTAGGCCTCATACAAATTGAATAGATTAATACCCTTGTTACCCTTAGTTCACAAACTACCCAAAACAGTCTAGAACCAAACCAGCTAGCAGCGATAAGATGGGCCACCCATTCACAAATTTCATCCATTTTCCAATTGCAGCTGCACAGCAAATCCTGATATTTTCAGCCCTGCTGCCCCAAATGAATGGGTGCTGCATGCCAGACCTGATGTCATATCAGCCAATGTACCGTATGTCGCACTGATCTCAGACAGACTCTGGGTTTCTGCTTATTGCTGTCACATGGACCATTTAATTCCTTGGAGTTATGTACTAAAAACACCAACCTTTGATATGAGCTACAGCACATCCATCCTGGCAGTATCTCCCCTGTAAAAACAACAAATACTCTGTCACAGAGTGCATCGGGGGCATTGCTACAGCACATACTGCAGATTTTTCAGTTCAGTAGGAGATAGCAGATATTCTACTCGCTCGACCAGCAAAAATATTTTAGGTGCATGATCCTCTTCCATTGCTTTACTAAGTGAAATAGAGGTGTAGACCATGAACTGTTTGAAAAAACTTGTTACCCACTAATCATACATACCATACACAATGTTCCAGTTTCTCCTTCATGACAACTGCAGTAAAAGACAGCTACAGGGAGAGAGGTTATTGGGCATGTGAGTAGGGGCTACATACTTGTTTGTTGATAATTACTTGCCAAAGAATGTTTCACATGCTCTAGGACTTGTCGGTACAAACAACACACCTTCATACTCTGTTGTAATCCTGAACTTTTTTTCCCAGGGGAATGTGGAATGTACATGTTCGTGTTTGTGTAAGGCAGGAGGTGGGGAAGAGGGATGGAATAAGGTGAATGGAAAACAAAGGAGAGAGAGAGAGAGAGAGACAAACAAAAGCTGAAGTGATCCGGTTTTTTTTATATTCACTTTCCGAGGCTCTGGGAAACAAAGGACCCTGAAAAATCCCTGCACCACTGAGTCATGAGAGGCATTGTGGTAGGTAGGTAGGTAGGTAGGTAGGTACTTCATTGATCCCTCTGTTAGAAATTACCCAATTCTTTTGTTGGAAGCACAAGAAGTGAAGACAGGAGAGGACTGTTTAAAATCAACAGGAAGTTTACTGGAAGTCTGAGCACAGGTGGAATCTTATGGTGCTGGGATCAGAGAGACAGAGCTCCCACAGGAATTCCTTCCTCTGACCCACAAGTTATGTTTTTATAATGCACTTATCTGGCTGGGCTAGGCCCGCCCTAAACAAAGGTACAACAATTCATACTTCGTAATCCTATGGGCCATTTGGAGTGAGTAGGTCAACCCCTGCCTGCGCTTGCTTGCTAATATGTGATCTAGACCAGGTGCGCGTGTGTGCGTGTGTGTGTGTGTGTGTGTGTGTCTCCGTCACCCTAATCTTGATCAAGCTGCACTGATCAATGGGTGGTCTGGGTTGCAGGCCCCCTGAGTGTGTGATGCTAATTTGTATGTTAAACTGGCCAAGTGGTCATCTCAGGTTGTAGGCCCCCTGTCTCTGCAGGACACCCCATGACAAAGCAGAACTTGGGATATGCTAAGTGGGTCCAGGTCAGCAGGTCTTTGTTAAAATGTAAAAAGGTTGTCTGATTGTTGGGAGATGCAGACATCCTGTCTCTATA